TCGAATGCTCCGATATACGTTTATTTCGCATGCACCCCGCAACTGGTCAGCTCCTCGAGAAAGCATATATCACGATTCGTCGATTCGTAAAAGCGCATTTACACGAAACAACCCATTTAATCTATTCCACGATTCATTTTTGTCCTAAAAATTTCGTTTCTTCGTAAAAAGAGACATCCGTAGACTCGGGATAGTCTATTTTTCGTTATACCTTCGCTCCACGAAGAACTGATCGGAATGCTGGAACATAACAGACATTCCAATATCATTATCGTATCGTATAATTAAAATTTCTAGATTATTTCAATTTCCTTGCAAAAAGTAAACGATAGCTTCGCGGATGCGAGTGGGCACGTTGTCTCTCAACCGACATTATTGGACCTAGAGATCCATTGTTCTAATCGATATTAAAAACGAGATCCGTGGAATCGCGATCCGAATTATTTTATCAAATTCGCTCGAAGATTCCCGAATTTTTTGTGGTCGTTTCGATAAACGAGAACCTATAGCGATAAAGCGTTAAAATTACGAAAAAGTTCAAATTTCGGAAACGGTTTTACTCGAAACCTGGGAATAAAACAGTATTAACGCGAGCACGATTCTCGAGGAGTTAGAATCGCGATTTCGCAAGCAAAACTCGGTTCTACATTTAAACACCTCGAAACAGAAATCGGATTATCCGAAACGCCACAATTGCGATATTACACGGATCATTGACCACCACGAAACGTAAACTAGAAATTGATTACACTCCCTATATTGGAAATAATCAGATAAGCCCATCGCGATAAAAAAATTTCGAAAAATTCGAAAGACGGAGTTAATCGAGTCACCGGACGAGTGTCCCGCTATCAGATTCTTTCTCTGCGTTAGCTCCACGTGATCGCACGAGCGCCCTCGACATGCCGGAACACGAGCCACGCGACGTTGCAAACATCCGGAACGGCGAGACGCGGAAACACGGAGAGCAATCGCGTAAGACAATCGACGAACCGCGGGAATGGAGGAAGCGAGCTGGAGTGCAAAAAGCGGTCGATCGAACGCGGAATCTCTCGTACGTACACACCGTGACCGGGGGGGTTGGGGTGGTGTCGTGCGCCCCACCCCCGGACAGCGGCGGCAGTCGAATCGAAAGCGGAAGATCGCACTTTCACCGGAAAGTTTCGAGCTTTTTTATGCGCCGTCGTGTCCCGAAGTTTTCCGCCCCCGCGGCAAACTGTTGCTTAGATCGTTATCGCGTGTACGGCCGCGGCCGATAAGCCTGCACGCAGCGCCGCCCCTATCGACGTGGGCCGGGCCGGAATTAGAAACAATCTCGCAGCGCCACGCCGCGCCGTGGGGACGCGGCTTTATTCTCCCGGCCCGTTCGCTTCCCGCGACTTTTCAATTCGCCGGCTAATGAGCGCCGTTTAAAAAGGGTACCGCAGACACGCTTTAATCTGATTACCGATATAAAGAGACGGGCCTTCGTTTCGTCGAGATCCTCGCGAATGAGATATGAAGCCGTTAATAAAACGGTGGATGCCTTTTGGAGCCGCGCGAAACTGTCAGCCCGATGGAAAGCGTAAGAAGGGGGGCAGTAAATCGGGGCTGGGGGATAAATCGGGGTTCCACCGATTCGAGTGTAAAGAGAGAGAGAGAGGTAAAAATTTGGTGGTTCGTTAGGTGTCTTCGTTGCCGCTCGATCGCTTCTGTTTGGCCTGGAGGTGGGGACGGGAGCCGCGCTGCTGAACTTCGGCTGCCATTTCGTGACACCGAGTACGCCAAATAGATTATAGATCGCGCAAGATGCGCGTCGGAGAGTTAAAAAGTCGCGGAGGTGGTAGGTGTCGACGGGAAATATATCGAGTTTCGATGAACCGTCACTGGGTATGCTACACACTTCACGGTGGAACTCCATTGACGTGTCTCGATAAAGGAATGGTCTGGAGTTTAGGCAGATGCAGAGGGAGTTTTAGACGCGTATGTGTGCAAGTATGTGTGCAAGTGTGTACGTACGTGTGTAGCGAGAGGAAGTTGTCTTCCTTAATTCGTATCCACGATTGCGAAACTGATACTGGTACGCGAGATAGGTCAACGAAGAGTAGCAGGACTGTCCATCTGATCGATACCATCCGAATGCCGGCAAACAGTGAATAACGTAATGTGCCAGCTCGAAGAAACCAGCTTAATTATGATACTATATACGCGACATCCCCACTCTTATCCGTCTTACGACTATTTCCATTGAAAAGCACGCGTACGTAACAGACGGAACCGTTCAGGTCTTTCTCGTGATCCCCGAGAAGCCGGAGTATTCCTACGTATTACAGCCATTCACTCTCCCAGGCCGGAGCCGCCAGAGAACAAAGTCCCCGTTGTAAAACCGTTCGGCCAGTGTACCTCGGTGACCAGTGCGATCGCAGAGTCAAAGCAGGACACCCTCTCGAACGTATCCTCCCTTATCAAGCCCGCAGGTGGTCGAGGCAGAGGCCGTTAGCTCTGCCGGCTAATAACTCGAAAGACGGACCATTAAAGAGCCGTGGTGGAACACGCACTCGAGACTCGCCTCTCGGATGACTCGTCATCATCGGCGGCGTGCGTGTGAGTCGCGGTGCGCGCACACGACGAGAGCAGAACCGTGCGCAACGATATCGCACACAGCGGTGGACGCGCGGCGGTGAGAGGAAGCGAGAGGGAGAGCGGGAGAAAGAGGGCAGCGGGACAGAGACGGGTGTACAGATAGACGGCTAGCAACGGAGAGCACGGATCCCGTGTACGTCCGTCCAACGTAGCCATACAGACACGCGGACGTGTCCATAGAGAGAGGCGAGCAGTGGCGTGCACATACCCTCCTAAGCACAAGCCTAACACACCCGTGGAAGCCCCTTCGGCCGATGAGTGCCGGCGCCCCTTGCCCCCTCGTGCAACACTCCTGCTGTTCCCCTTCGCCCCAACGCCCAGAGTCGAAGGTACTCTCTCCCGCTTCTCCCTTCCCCCGAAAGCCCTGTGGATGCCGGTGTGCGGCCCCTTGCGCCCCTTTCGATCCCTCCTTTCCCTCGGAGAGTTACCCGTCCACCGGCCCCTTCGGTGTTCTGATGGTGACAGACCCTACCTTACCGCCTCCGCTGCCGCCGCCGCCGCCGCCGCCGCCGCGGGCCGGGGAGAGTCGAGGCGAACCGGCGAGGGCGCTGGAACGGTGAAAAGGAAGACCGAGACGGACAGTCTGCCGAAGGAAGACGGAGCGAGTAACGGACAGGGAGAGAGCGAGCGAGAGAGAACAAGCGAGGGAAGGAGATGGGAGGAATACACAGGGAGCGAACGAGTGGAAGAGAGACAGGGACAGAGACCAGAAAGGAACACCAGGGGTGAAGGAGAGAGGGTTGACGCGTTCGAGGAGGACCGCCGGGGAGTGAGAGCGGTACGGGTCATAGCAGGGCGCGGCATGAGGGAGAGACAGAGATGGGACGAGGGAACGGGACAGGGGCCGGGGTCCGCGGGGAGGGGGTGTGGGAGTGAGCGTGAAAGAGGGAGCGAGATAGAGCGAGCGGTACGGTACGAGACGGAGAAAGAGAAGGAAAGGGAGAGTGGGGTATGGGTGAAACCGTGGAGTGAGGTTGGCGTGGTTGGGGTGAGGAGACGTGGGGGAGTCGAGAGGAAGAGGGGAGCGGCGCGGAGGCGGTGAGGAGAGTAGTGGAAAGGGCGAGGTGGGCGAGGGGAGGGGGGTCGCCGCCGCGTCGCCAGTCGCCAGTTTGCCGTGAGCGCTCGTGATGCGAGGACGTTCTATGATTTCGTCTAGGAGCGTGGCGCTCTCTCAACAGCACTCGCATTAGGAACGGGGAACAACGCGTTTGTTTTCAACGCAGGTCGTCGAGTTCCCTCTTCGCGTGCAACACGCGTCAGTCGAGTCGAGTGTTATCGGCAACCACGAGAGCCAACGATCTGGGGATCGTGCGTCAGCGGCAGTGTTTGGACGGTTTTCGACAGTTGAAACTCGCGGCGTGCGCGGTCACGCAACGTGTACACACGAGGACACGAGCGTTCTCTCCTCTTGTTTACTCGTGCGCCGCGACCCGTCCGTCCTTGGTGTTCGCGAGCATTCTGTTCGCCAGTGTGTGACGTTTACCGAGCCTGGAAGATACCGATTACCGTGCCTCTTCACCGGACACGATTTTTCATCGGAACGTTTTCCTGCAGCGTGGCCTGTTACGTCTGTGTTTCCGCGTGATGCACGCACCTTCCGATCGACCAGCTGATCGCGATTCCGGCAGTGTTGCATCGGCTCGATGGACTTTATAGAGGCAGCGGCTCGTCCGTGGGGTATCGCGTACGTGAGCGGAAGGCCGAATCGGTCAACGACGACAACAACGACCACGACGGCAACAAGGACGACGGGAGAGTTTTCGTGCGGGCACACGGCCCTTTTTTCGCTCGCACCCGTCTACGTCGACACCTGCGGTAACCGCGGGAATTTTATCGCGGCGGTACGCGGCGCCGCTGCGTGGTGTTGTTGTGCGCGAGCTTAAAGTTCGCGGACCGTGCGCGGGACAAGGACAGAGCGCGCGTTGTGTGTACGCGTCCAACTAGAAAGAGACGGAGCGGGAGTGTGGAACAGAGACAGAACTAAAACCGAGAACTCTGAGAAAGTTTGCGAGCAAAACGTGCCGCCGAGACGTATTCCGAACATCTCTCTCCCTCGTTCTCTCTTTCCC